AGGTGCCCATACACCTTACGATTATCGTACGATAATCGTATGCGATCGACTTTTCGTACGACAATCGTAACGTGTGAATAGAGTGCCCGACCGATAGTACTGTACAATCGTACGACTTTTGACGGTCAAGCATGTTTGAAAACTTTGGTTGATCGTACGATATTCGCATGGTTGGTGGCGTTTCCGTCCGTCAAATGTCGTACGATTAACACTGCGCATGCGCAAACGAAAATAATTGCGGTCAATTACCGCAAGTCGTCCAGGTGTTTTTTTCTAACTACCGCTGATTGAACCTTGCGATAATCGGGGCAGGATGGGGCCGTCGTACGAAAATCGTACGACGGTTCGATCATCGGACGAAAAGTTTAGTCCGATAATCGTAAGGTGTATGGGCACCTTAACCCCAAGGTGGTTACAGTCTAAATTCCTTATCTCATAAGCACACATACTAGGGCCAATTTAGACAGGAGCCAATTAACTTACCAGCCTGTACACCTGGATTCAAACCAAGCAAGACAGAAGTGCTAACCACTGAGTATGCTTTCCAGTACTATTGTTTGCCTTTAGAGCTGAACCTCAGTTATGCAGCTAAATACACAGCAGAAATACACACATACACACTGTTTTACCCACAATGAGAATTCAAATTTGTTTTGGTCACAGCACCAGTGCCACGCTGCACAGCCAGGCCATCAACCTGCAGCCACAACACAGCTTGAGACCAGAACACAATCCTAGTATGCTGAATCGACACTGAATGAACATCAGAACACTGAGATCATCCCTATTCTCAGGATGCTCTCCTCCTGTCAGCTTGTTAGCATATGGGCACTGAAGCAGAGCATGGTTAGATTAGAGTTCTGCCTCTCCCTTTGCCAGGAGTATTGCTGTACAGAGGATTACATGAGGCAAATATCAACACAAATGTTATGGTTAAAAAAGGGGCCTAGTTATAACAGAAAGCAGATACCACTAACTATCCACTGGACACTGCAGTATTTTGAATACTTTTTACACTTTATTTAATAAAATTCAGGATGTGGTGTAGAGCCTGTAGTATTATTTGAAGTGTTCACTCTGTGAAAGGAGGTTAGGCCAGTCACATTACTTTGCCAGGTCATGTGACCACCCTTTCCTCCCAGAACCTCCCAAAATTGCACTTTAATTGCTTTAGCACTCCAGAGCACTAAGATAATTTGCAAAGCTTAGGGCTGTTCTTTATAAATGTGCCTTTTTTTTTACAACCCACCACTATCCTATAAATGTTCCCCTATTTTTAAGGCATATATAACTATTTGGTATTTTTACATCTGCCAGGAGTTCAGCTTTAAGCTGGACATAAACAAAAGATGACAGTCAAACATTCACAATGAATGTATGGGTAATATCTGGGTTTCTTATATTCCTCACTGACAGACAGAGAGATAGAGATATTTTCATGAATTTGTATTTTATAGTAATGAGTCATTACCTTATCTCTGCCTCCTTCGTCCTTGACAGTCACATACAGAATACCACAAAAAGACACAAAATAATCTACATACTGCAGATCCTGGCCTGTGATAAAACCTTTAGTGATTAAATTAGCAAGTACAAGTTAATGGAAGTAGTGTATATGTTATGCGTTTCTATATTGATGCCCAATACTAAATTCATGTTCACTTAGTGATATTACTGCGTGAGTCTAGAGCTTGGCCTGTATTATTAAAAAGAAAATGGGGTGAAGCTAGTCTGCCAGGTCTGGAATGGAAATGGTAACAGGGTTATTCATTAAAGAGTGAAGAGTTTGGAGAAGGCAGGAGAAGTGAACAATCTAGGACAACATAGCCGAACTGGAAAGTGAGCAGAATTGGAGAATTTTTCCAAATCAGCTATGTTGTCCTAGCTTGTTCACTTCTCCTGCCTTCTCCAAACCCTTCACCCTTTTGTGAATAACCCTGTATATGTATAATTTGTTAGATATAGCACATTTCCACCATGTAATAGTATTACATAAAAGGTCAAATTACCAATGGCAATCAATCAGATGTCAGCTCTTAGGGTCTACACACACGTTACAATCTGCCCATACAATCTCTGTACAATCAACTTTAGATCTACCAAAACTATGTAATATTAGGACCTACTCAAACTATCAAAGCAATCTGTATACAATCAGGTAGGCCCGTGTACTACACACTTGTTGGTAGATCTAAATGACATTGTACAATCAGATTGTAACGTGTGTGGTGAGCTTAAGTATTTTAGCATAGACATACCAATGCATTTTGTGTACTTTATTTGCAATTAAAACACTTTTTACAAGTGAAAAACACAGCATGAATATTGTGTTGCTTGTATTTGTTGGCTGCATGAATTCATCCTGCAGGTGTTCATGTCCTAATAGAATGCCACATAAAGAGATATTAAGAGATTATATGATAATTATATTATAATTGAATATGCCATGTGGCACCCTCTTAGGCCCCGATGACTGTTTTCTACAGTGCATTCCAGCTAATTAATTGAGTAAAGTGAACCATGCCTTTAAATTGCCCATTAGGATTATGGGTATTATGAGACAATATATTGTGCTGCACAATTACAGTAGCAGCAATAATATTAACAGATCTGGCATGGTGCTAACATTTACATTAGTGTAGTGTTTAAATATCCATTGTGTGCTTACATTCTTGTTTTCTCTCTTCCAGCTGAGGAAAGGATATGCACGAACAGTCCTAGAAATCAACACCCTGAAAATAGATCAATTGCCTATAGCAGATGTTATGATCAGTGACTTTGGGGATCAGAATCAGAAGTTTGGATTTGAGGTTGGCCCAGCCTGCTTCTTAGGTTGAGACTGGAATGCGGACAAGCAGCTTCTAAAAAAAGTGTAAAAAAATTATTTTCTAAAAAAAGCGCGTCAGGCTTTGGATACCACCAGAGACGTGTTCGCCACATGCAAGTTTTGAATACGGATTGTGCAGAGGGGAAGACAAACCAGATAAATAACAAGAAAAAAAAGTGCAGTTACTTAACATTTGCCAGCCATCCTCATCTCGGGCAGAATCACATGACTTAACCAGAAAGCATTTGCCAAAATATGAAGGACTTAGATGTGATACTGTAAGGACAGCCGTGTCCTCCTTTCATGGGAATCTTTTGGTGCTGGAAAATACCTAAAACAGGCTTCGTCCAATATAGGTGCTATTCATTTAATGTAAATGGGTTCATAAAATGCTGTACACATGTAATTATTCTGCATACCTATTACACAGCTTGCATGTCCCTTTCCAAAACTTGCATGTTACTCTGGGTTGAGCCATAATAGTAAGACAAAAGAAATCCCAAAAAAGGTTCCCCACTGTGTAAAGAGGATACAGTGTCTGTATTGTGCAAAATAACGTGTAATTCCAGTGGACTCCAACCCTTCTTTCTGACTTCAAATAAAATCCCTTTGTATATATTGATGTGGAAGACCTCTCATTTGCTGTTGCTAAAACAAAATAAATATATATATATATATTTACAGTCTCTATATATAAAGCCTCAGGTTTCCAAACTGGAAGACAAAAGTGATAATCAAAATTTGCCTATTTTTGTGTTGCATTTTTCTTTTGCAAAATGAAACCATTTTGGTGCAATATTTGATGGTGCTAATACCTCATTCCAGGATGTCATGACATGCATGTATATACCTAAAATAACTTTTTTTAATTATTATTTGTGGTCGGGGAAATATGTATTGAGAGATATTTCTGTATAAGATATTTGTCAATTCTGTGTGAAGTCTTTGGTCAACTCAAGTTTGTTTGAATTTATGTATCATAGAGGTTTGTGCATCTTCAATCACTTAATATTAAAACTGGACTCCAAACACTAAAGTTATGCATTTGTTCAGTGTTTACAAGTACATTTAAATAGATAACAACGGTCAGCGTGAATGTTGGTAAATGTAGTTTAAGCTATAGCTAATCAAAGACTAAAAAGTAAAACATATTGGGCAGTGCTAAAAAATTCTATCATAATTAACTTTTATATATTTATGTAAAGGGATATGTCAAAGTCATGTGATTCTACCTGGTTGCATAGCAACATAGGAGGGGCTGCTAATTAAATACTCAAGTTAATTTGGCATCCAAATTTGTTTAATTAGTCTTCCAAACTTCATGTGGATTTTTTCCTCCTCTTTCTGGTTTTAGCTGGAAAATAAAGATAAAGATTTTCACATTAAAAATAAAATCATTTTGTAATTATTTTTCATAATATATGTAAGACTTGAAAATTGTTTGTTACTCTTTCATAAATAAACTGTTAAATTAATTGGTCTCAGATCCCACTAGCTCATTTTCCCATGACGTTTAATTAACAGGATATAGAATTATTATTTTTTTCTTTTACTGATGAAAGTCCTTTTTTTTATACAAAAAAAAATGTCACCTCAGAGAAAATATGAAATGTTGCCAATAAATTCAAGTCTTGTTTACTTTAATGTTCCTCTCATTTCTTAAAAAATATTGTTGATGCATTCATCCAAAATTTCCAGTATGAACAAGGCTACCATAATGCATGTATGTTTGCTCTTTCTCGGGTTAGTTACTGCAGTTATTGTTGTTGTTTTTTCAGTTGCGTTGTAGTATGTAATAAAATATTTTGACTAATTCTTAGACATAGATATTTTAGATATCCTTTTTAATGTTGCACCTAATGACAAGTCGTAGTAGCCCTTGTTACAATTAATCAGAGGCACCCATGTCAACCCAGTTATTAGTTAAAGACCACCTAATTCAGCCAGTTGGTTTTCTATAGATTAGATGAATCATCTATATGCACTGGTACCATGGCATTACTTTTAACCCTGTAAAGTATGCCAGTATATTAGCTGTGATAGTGCTGCTAGTTCACTTTTTAAGTGACAAACTTATACATTAAATCCAGATCTATAAAGATCTATAAGAGCTATTGATATAGTACATCTTCTACAATTGACCTAGATTAGATAAAACCTGGTTATTATATTTGGATGATAAGTCTTGCAACTCATCAGCAACAGGATCGCTACAAAGTGGTGTGAAAATACTTAACCTGTTTCCACAGGTCAATCCATCACTGGCCTGAGAAGTGAGTCATTGCTCCCTCACTGACAAAACACTGTAGACGGGTCAGTATTTATCTGCCTTTCCCTGTCTTTCATAGAAATTCGGTTGTTGGCAAGTTGTTACTAGTAACAGGCTCATAAGTATAACAGTCTTAATGTGAGCTGCTCTCCATCTAGCCTGTGACTATTCGAATAGGTGGGAACTCGAAGTGACACAACGTATAACAGTATTTAAGAACCCAGTTAATGTAGAAAGCCACCAACACTCCTAGGAGTGCTGGCGACTTTCTACCCATTAACAGAATTGCAGGTATGATATTGTCCTTAGTTACAGTTGCACAACTCAACCACATACAGCACTGAGCAAATAATCAACAAAAGGTATTCTAAAAATGTAACTGATGACATTTCTTTTTATTAATGCAATTAACAATCGGTCCACAAGGTAATTTTTACAAGCAAAAATGGAGTGTAATATATAAAATGCATTATCACTCCCCATCAGAGTGACCCTTTGATTTTTCAGACCATCTGCAGGCAAAGTGGCTGCTCCATGTTTGGTTATTTTAAGTTCCAATGCAAACATGTATGGAAATCTTTTAGAATGTTACGTAGATACGTAGGTTGACAAAATATACAACCATCAAATACATCCATAAAAACACACACATAAAAACAATACTTTGCATCATCAGGACCTTAACCCTAGATCCAGAAAAAATAAGAAAATTATGTGAGGCAGGGAAAATATTTCTTCTAGGTCCCCAAAAGCAGTTGAATAATTTTCTTGGCCAACTTTCTAATATGATTTTTTTTTATATATATGAGGCTGTTTATATTTTGTGACTTTAGCAATCTTCTGAATCTGTTTAAACTAGTTCCTGTAGAAGACTTTTTTACATTTTGGAACCAAACCCTTTTCTCATATGTTGCCTTGGGATCATAGGCTTAAATAAAAACAAATGTTCTCGTAATATGGGGAAGAATACTGAGTCAAGATTCTATTTCATGCCTGTGATCACAGGAGCAACACTTCTCTATACTTCCTGTTATTGGTGTCAGAACAGGGAGAGAACAGAGTTCTGTATGGAGACACAGAAAAACCCAACTGAAGTTCTAACCTCCCTGATTAGGATCACAGTGTTCAGTGAAAACCCATTTTCTAGTAGAGTGGGGAAGGATGCTGAGTCCAGATTCTATTTTTGTCTATGTTCACCTGAGGGACACTTCTGCTTACTTCCTGTTATGGGTGTCAGACAGAACAGGAAGATAGCAGAATTCTCTATAGGGAGACAGAAATACCTACCTGAATTTCTAACCTCCCAACTCTATACAAAACAGAGTAACATTCGATAGTTAGGCTTTAAGGTGATCAATTTCCCCAATTAATTTTCTGTAAGAATCACTTATAAAAGATAATTAAACTCCCCCTTAATTGCCTTTTCCTAAGGGTGAACAAATTCAGTTCAATTAAAGAATTGGCAAATGGCTCAATGGCTCAATACGCAGATGAATGCACATAAGGGAGCTGTGTACCTGCCAAAGGCATTTCTGGCTATCTAGGTTGTTTTTATACCTATCCAGTTATGAGATTAACACAGCTCTGCTACACAGCACATCCCTGTCTGGTTGGATAGAAGATATTTTTTTCTCTGCTGCATTTCAGTTACACTTAACAGGCCTTGTTGTAATGGCTAAGAACGTTATGACAATTGGGGACCAAAGAAGAACACACTGGCAGCCCCTTTTTCCTAAAACAGTTCTTTATCCAATTGAACAAAGTATACAGAACAATAGGGCACTAAAATAGTTTGACTCATACAGGCTTAACAGGTTCAGCACACAAATCTTCAGTTGCTTTAGAGCAGTGGAAATTACCAGAGGATGCCCCTCTTAAACTCACAATTCTGTCAATTACTGTACTCCAATAGGGACCACATACAGGTCCTCTCATAAAGGTTTTAGGGCAGTGCTTTACAATGGGGAACCTCTAGAGCTAACAGATCTTTCTTTCGGCAGTGCACTCTGCTGCTCAAGTTCCCATGGAGAGCCTACTCACAACGGTGTCTCAACCTCTGGGTCCTTCACTTATTCCAACTTAAGGGATGAGAAAGTGTCTGCGCCCTAACTGTCCTTGCACAAGATAGGGTCCTGACACTATCTAATACTTCCCAATCAAGGCCCCCTTATGATGCAGATCATGCTATCTATAACACTTCTGCATGCCAAAATGGCCACCAAAATCTCATGAGAACTCTATGACAAAACAAGACACAGGCTTTCCCAAGATGGCACCCAGGGCCAATGGGAAAGGAAACATTAGTCCAATGCTGTGCCCAGCCTAGTGCCATCATTAACATGGTAGTCACATGACCACACCAATTACGCTATACACAAAAGGGAATGTGATTCAGTTGTCACATGACTGCTGATAGCTTCCTACACAGCAACAATTGGTAGAGTCACAGGGAAATGGACAGGGAGAAAGACTACCGTTTGACCCCTTGCCTAAACCCTACCTACACTGTCCCTGCCCCATAGACTTTAATCCACTTTGAATCTAATTTGTCATGGAACTGTCCAATTAACTAGATTGCCATGGTCAACATGTGCAAGCTTATACTTGTAAGGGATTGTATTTCATGCATAGATTTGTGTCATCTGGATATACATAATAAAAAGAGATCACTAACATCAAGATGCAAAAAGGATGACATTATATGAAACACATATTATAAAATAAGCAATTGTATACACAATGCTTTAGCTAGCTACATGGGCTTATAGGGTTTTTAGGTATTATATATTTTTTACACTTAC